TGCCGCAATGGCCTCCCATGCCTCCTTAGCATAGCTCTTCGCCCCCAATGGCTCCCTGTACTCCGATGGTACAACAGTGAGGATAGTCTCCAACGCTGACATATCGTCTTCTTCGTTGTCGGTGCCCTTGTCAACAGCATTCTAGAGCCGTCGGGCTCTGAGCTTGACCTTCATAGTCACCGACCACCCGCCATAGTTGGTGCGAGTCAGCGTCGGCCAACTGGTGTCGCTGACCTCCCGCACCATACGCACAACGACCTCTTATCGTGGTTGGACAGCCGCTGCTATCGCCCATCTCCAAACCGTCTGTCATCGCCAGCGGTTAGTCCGGCGACAATGCTTGTACGGCTCCGATACCACTTGTTAGCCCCTAGATCTTCAGTGCGGGTGAGTCGACCACTCACCACTATTGCCGACCACGCACTGTCGTTGCCGACCACACACTATTGCTAGAGGTAGAAGAAGAAAGGAAGAACAGAGCACACACAACACAAGCACCAGCGTTGGCCGGAGCTCTATAGAGGAGATAACAAACTGAACTCGCTCTTTACTAAGTTGTAGTGGCAAACTATATATACAACTCTATCCATCTAATCCTTATACACAGATATGTCAGACTGTCATGTTGCTACAGTGACTAGATGTAATAGCAGGGCTGACTTTGGCGCTTGTCCCTGCTGTGGCTACAGTGCGGCAGGTGAGCCATTCAGCGCCTACCCCTATAGCTGCTACAGTGCAACAGCAGGAAGCCCTTTTCGGCGGCGCATGTCCCTGCCGTGCGTTCACACAAGGAGAGCAGCAGATTACTCAACAAAGCTTGCCCATGACGGTAGGACCCCAAGAAAAAAGAGCACCACAGCTAGCAGCACCAAAAGGTGCAACTCCCCTCCTCCCTGTTCTCATCGCTGGTCGCTGCTGTGCTGGGTGCTGCCACTATCTGTTGTCCGAATATCGGATCCGGCGGAACACGAGGAGTTTTTTTATGAAACTTTTTTTTGCCAGCAGTCAGAGAAAAAAAACAACGCCTCCTATGTACTACTCTATCCGTCCCAAAAAGAGTGACATTTTTTATTTTCAGACATCCACCTTGTTCGCTTGATCATATCAGCCATGCTTATCAGCCATGATACATTATTTTTCTCTCACAACAAAACAGCATCAGCCAGCTTATAAGCCACAGAAACGATTAAGCGAATAGGGTGATTGTGATTGACCGTTCGTCTTATTCAAATTTTTTATGTAAATTATAAAATAAATAAATCATTATTAAAGTATCTCTAATGATAAAATAAGTCATAACAAAATATATGATATTTATACAAAAAATTTGAATAAGACGGATGGTCAAACAAGATGTCTGAAAGTAAAAAACGACACTCTTTTTGGGACGAAGGGAGTATGCGTGTCTGTCCCGGCCGTCCATGTCCATCGGACACGACGACTGCAAAACAAGGCCACAGTAGGAGAGAATCCAATGATACCATGCCGGGTCGAAACCAATTTCATTCGTATAGGATCCCGGAGTAAAGTTTAGTCTGGAATCCAAACACTCCTTAAAGTTCGGTACGCCTAGTGCTCGAACGTCCGGTGCCAGGACACGTCCGAATGCACCTCAGAAAACAGCACTCGCTTACAGAAAATAGTGCCAACATGCGTGCGTGCTTCCCCCATCCCCCTGCGGCCTATCTCCACTACCTCATCCTGTCACCGCGCTCCCTTTGTAAGCCCCCTCCCCCACCGGTGGGGAGGACGCCGGTGTGGGGGGAGGGGCGGCGCCGGGGTGGGGGAGGAGGACTCTGGGGTAGGGGAAGGAGTCGCCGGGGTAGGGGTAGGAGGATGCACGGGGTGGGTGAAGGAGTCGCCGGTGTGGTGAAGGAGCCGCCGTGGTGGGGAGGAGGATGTCACGGTGGGGGAGGAGGATGCCGGGGTGGGTGAAGGCGCCGCCGCTGGCCAAGGAGGGAGCCGGCAGCATGTGCGACGAGAGGGGCGAGAGGCACGCGAGGCATGGGGCGTGAGCGAGGGGATGGGGAGCAACGACGTGGGACTAGGTGTGCGGCGTGGCGAAGCCTTGCGTCCCGAGCAGACACGCTTCGTGGGAGGGGCGAGGCGCCATGGGAATGAGCGGGCGGTGCGACGAGCGGATAAGGCCGTGGAGAGATGAGTGGAGGAGGACGCGCGGGCGCCGTAGCCAATCGAATCGTTATCTGCGCATCCGGAAAACACCGGACGTTCGAGTAAGAGCATTATCACTTAAAGTTTAGTCGTTGTCACATTGAATGTATGAATATCAATTAGAGGACTAAACATAAGGTAATTATAAAACTAATTACATAAGCCGTGACTAATTCGCGAGACGAATATATTAAGTCTAATTAATCCATGATTAGCATGTTTGTTGTAACATCACATTCACTAATCAGGGACTAATTAGGCTTAATAGATTCGTCTCGCGAATTAATTATGACTTATGCAATTAGTTTTATAATTAGCCTATATTTAATACTCCTAATTAGTATAAACATCTGATGTGATAGGGATTAAATTTTAGTCACATTTATCAAAACACCCCCCAAGTCGCGCTAGCTGTAGGCTGTACCCACTTCCAAGTTCCTACCGCATCCATTCCATCGATGCCCGCCTCCTTTCGGAATCGCAAAATTTAAGATGTTGTAATCTTTTTTATTTTCTTAATTAAAGCGAGTGATTGATTAGTGAGTAACCGATGGCACTAATGGGCGCTGCGGCAGCTGTCTCTGCCAGCTCAGCTCAGCGCAGCCCTGGACAAAGGATCACGATTTTATAACGCTACTAGGCATATTTTGAACGTGACGGTGTTCAGCAGCATATTAGATGTTTGAGCGGTATCCATAAGCAAATTTTGCCTATTTTTATTTTCTGTGTGGTTAGTGATGACAGTGATAGACGAGTGAAGGGGAGGCGCACACACCTTGTAAGTTCGAGTTTAGTGGCATAGCGGATGGACACCTAGTATATAGAAAGATGCTTGGTGTTTAAATTCAGAGACTAAAGTTTATGGGTGTTACATCGGGTGTCACATGGCGGTGTCACATTGAGTGTTTGATAGTACTAATAAAACAAATTACAGAAGTCTTCATTAATTCGCGAGATGAATTTATTAAGCCTAATTAATCCGTCGCTAGCACAGGTTTACTGTAGCATAACATTGTCAAATTATGGACTAATTAGGCTTAACAAATTCGTCTCGCAAATTAATCTCAATTCGTGCATTTAGTTTCGTAGTTAGTCTATATTTAATACTGCGTACATGTGTCAAGCATTCGATGTGACAGTGATTAAAGTTCAGGAGGGGAGGAAGAAACCAATCGATCGTATGAACAGTTCATATGTATGACTCGTGGCACATTCTGATTATATGGGAATATGGGATGCCATAGATGACTAAATTTTGATTAGAGGGGATGTGTGGATGGTTAATTAGTCTGGCAATTAAACTTGCAATGCGTTTTCCTCTCAAACCGAGTCTTCCGTTCGAACCATGTTGTTTATACAGTACAGAATACGAGTACTACTAGTATTGCAGGCTGGACCTGAGCTGACGGAAGCTTGGCCCGTGGCCCCGTGCCCGTTGATGCGAGACCACTCCCGAGTCCTGACCTGAACCTGACGACCTTGCAGTGACGAGCATGGCACGCATCTGCTTGGCCCCTTCGCCACAGGAAAGAACCTTGTCCAGGTACAAAGATGGGGAGATCGAGGCCAAGAGTCTCTCTGCTCGCTCAGCTGGTCTGCTAGTTAGCAGCGGAGAAGGAAGAGCCCGTCCGTGACTGGGAGCGACCTCTGCTGGGCGCTGGCCAAGCCGTTTGTTGCGTGATGAGTGCAGGTGCAGCCCGCCGTCTGCGATGGCAGCATCGAGCGGCCTGCTCCTTGCTCTTCTTCTTCTTCGTCGTCCTGCCTCTTCTCATCCCCATGACCCAAGGTGAGCCGTGGTCCTCCGCTTTGCCCTGACGATTTGTGTGTCTATGTGGTTTTTAGGCCTGGTTTCCACCCAAAAAAACTGGGCAGAACACTTATTTTTAATTTTTCCGTCTAATAAAAATCACGACAAAGCTTTTGCCGTCCCTTCGAAAACAAATTGTGTCTCTGAAGTCTGAACATGAAGCAGTGACAACCTGCTATGCCTAGGCTATGCAGGCGGCCACCAGGAGCCGGTGCATGTGGGAGAGGAGGACCCGCACACACAGTCACCACCGGTAACCATTCTCTTTCGCCCTCGCCCAACAACACAGATCAGCAGCAGCTGAAATAGCTGCTGCAACGAGCAGTTTGTTTCATACTTTCATTTCATTTCATCCGCCATCAGGTCGATGGGGGAGAGCACGCGGAGGAGGAGCAGCAGCAGCTGAACAGACTGGGCTCGAGGCCACCGTGCTGCGACCGCAAGTGCGGCGCGTGCGGTTGATGCGAGACCACTCCATGCAGCGCAACTTTTGGCTGCAGCTGCAGCAGGTGCAGGTGCAGCCTGATAAAACCTGCGCCATTTCCTAAATCCGCTCCCGCCCTACCGCCTAGCCTGTCGATGCTACCACAGCGCTGCCTGTGCTGTGACTGTGAGGGTGAGGCGACCTCTCTCTCTCTCAGGGACGGACGCCGACGCCGGGCGTTGCGTTGCTGCGTTGCGCGGAGCGAAAAGTACCGAGGCTGATAAGTTCAAGCGAACAAGCAACGACGTGGTCACAGCACCAAGGCCATCCTCGCAGTCACGCGGCTGCATTCGCTTCGCTGCGACCTGACCGGAGGACCGCGTGCCGAGCAGAGCATGGCACGCATCTGCTTGGCCCCTTCGCCACAGGAAAGAACCTCGTCAGTCGTCGTCCATCCAGGTACGTACAAAGAGGGGAGAGCCCTGCCCAGGAATCTCTCTGCCTCTGCTCCCTCAGAAATCCCTCAGCTCTCTGGCCTGCCGCCTGCGTACGTCTGCTAGCTTTAGCAGCGGAGAAGAGTCCGTGACCGTGAGCGACATGTGCTGGGCCTGGGCGCTGGCCAAGCCGTTTTGCATGCTGCCGGCGCCGCGGCGTTGCGTGAACGTGATGAGTGCAGGCGCAGCCCGCCGTCTGCGGTGGCAGCACAGGGCGGCCTGCTCCTTGCTCCTCTTCTTCTTCGTCGTCGTCCTGCCTCTTCTCGTCTTCATGGCCCAAGGTGAGCTGAGGTCCTCCGTTTTGCCCTACCGTAACGTTTTGGTTTTGTGTCTCTGAACCTGAAAGAAGCAGCGCCAACCTGCTATGCAGGCGGCCATCAGGATCCGGCGCATCATGTCGGAGAGGACCCGCGCTCACCGCCGGTAACGATTCTTTCTGACGATGGCCGAGAGCATGCGGAGGAGCAGCAGCAGCTGATGAGCAGGCTGGGCTCGAAGCCGCCGTGCTGCGACCGCAAGTGCGGCGCGTGCGCGCCGTGCAAGGCCGTGCAGGTGCGCGCCGGCGCCAACTACGAGCCCGTCTGGTGGAAGTGCAAGTGCGGCGGCGCCGTCTTCGATCCTTGACGTGGCAACTGATAGAGAGATAGCATGTGAATTTGCATCTGCCTTGGACTTGTGCTACATCAGTGTAGAAGATACTACTCGTACTGTATCCCTGACATGGTTGTGATATTAATTTGGCTTAGATTTAAGAGACGATGTTGTTTAATTGGCTAGTCATCTGCTTCAGCTTCTACACTGGTCTACACTGGTGCAGCAATTTTCACCTGTTCCCCTGCGTTCTTTGTTGTTCATAATAGTTTTGCCCTGCCGTTTTTTGTGCAGCTGAGTGGGTTTTTTTTTTCCCATCACAACTCAGAACAGCAGATGTGCGTGGTAACATGTTCCTTTCTTGTCAATTGGAGCGCCTTGAATATACTGCTGCGTAAATGTGTTCCCTGATTTCGATTTTATTCTTTTATGGATGGACTGTTTTTATTATGTATTCATTCCAGGATCTTCGCAGATATTCCAGTTCAAAACACCCACTGTTTGTGAAACCATGAACGGAACGATAGAAAAGCCCGGTACAAAGCTGATATGGGTCTTAAGGCCCCCATCGGTCCTGGACAGTGGATAGCATAATCTGGCCCAAAAAGCAATGGATGAGCTACGGTCCAGCCCAGCATGTATAACAGGTCTCGTTGCGAGCCAAGCCCTGTCCTGCCCAACTAGTTTACTGTGGAGTCCAGCCCAGCCCAACCCAGCATACAGATTCAGGGACCATTCCTTCCTTCCATAAGAAACAACAGGATCGACGACAACCCTTCCGTAGATTCAGCATCTTGCCCTTTGACACCAGCACAACACTACAAATCGCTTGTGAAGTACTCCCTCCGCACTTAAAAATGAGGCCGTTTTAGATAAGGTTTAATTCAAACATTAAGAATATAAATCATAAATAACTTTTAAGTTATTGAGTTTGGAAATGTGAAAACCATACGAATAGATTTGTCTTGAAAAATACTTTCATAAAAATATACATATATCACTTTTCAATAAATATTTTTTTTATAAAAATAAGAAATCAAAGTTATACTGTAAGACCGTGTCGCTTTACAAAACGATTTTATTTTTGAGTACGGAGGGAGTACGAGACGGACAAGGTGACAACTCGAATTTCCAACTCCTCAGCCGGCTTCGAAATTCCTACCTGCTCTTGTTCATTTGCGGTGTTGTTTGGCCGCAGGTCGCACCAATCAGGACGCTCACACGGTTGATCCCAAATTCAAATCTCCATCGAGATTCTCTGTACTGTACTGTACTACTAGAGAGTACGCAAATGCTAAGAACCTATTCATATTCCCGTCCTTTTTAGCCTTTTCTTGCTTGCCGCCTTCTCTTCTGAACGGATGCCTGCCTTTCACTTTTATTCTTTCTGAAAGCACCAACCATAACCAAGCTCTTTGTCAACTCATGCCTGCGGAATTATTTTTCTTTCGGTAATGAAAGTGTGCGGGAGTCCGTCCCGTCCGGACGGACATGCACAGACTCGACCGAGCCGTTATCCAGGCTCGCTCGCTCATCCCCGTTCCCCCACCTGCACAGACCCGCACATCCCCATTCCTCACTCGCTCTGCTCGCCCGCTCCCCCCCATTTCTCCCGCACACCACTCGCTGCCGCGCCGCGTGCTGTTCTCTGGGCCGCCCCCGGGACGGACGCCGCGCCCACGTGCCAGGTCGCTGCCGCCCCTCCCTCCTTCCCTCCCTCTGTGACCTCCATGTGACCCCACCGGAGACGAGGATGACGGGGTGGCTCCGCCGAGGTAGATCGGTGCTTCTATGGATCTGAGCGCTACTCCTCCCCCTCCTCCTCTGGATCCGAGGGGCGTGGCGGTGGATAGGGTTTCGGCGAGCTCTGGGGTCCTATTCTCTCCCCCCTCCGGTGAGTTCGAAGGTGATGGGCCACGGGCTGTTTGGTACGTCCTTTTTTACTGTTTCTCTGTGTTGTAATGTGTTTTTTGGATGTTGCAATAGATGGTTTTCAAATATTGCAATGAGATTTTTTGGGTCATTGCAACAGATGTTTTTGCGATGTTGCAGTACTACTGCTTGAGATGTTGCAGTACATAATTTTCGATGTTGCAGTATATATTTTTTCGATGCGGCAGTATATGTTTTTTTATGTCGCACTACATATTTTTTCAATGTTGCAGTACATAATTTTTGTTGTTGCAGCACATATTTTTTCGATGTTGCAGTACATGTGTCGGTGCGAAATGTGGCCAACAAATAAATATTTGTAGTTTTGCCATGCGTTGTGATCGGATATGGCCTAACATTCAATGACACAAGATTTATACTGGTTCAGGCAACGGGCCCTACGTCCAGTTGAAATCGGTTGGTGACTTTATTTCTGAAACTAGGTGCTCGAAATTTGCTGTGAGGTTACAAACGAGTAAGAAATAAGAAGAGAGTGTTACAGGCCCTATCGGACTCTAAAACCGAGTGGCCGAGAGTCACGGATGCTCAAACGCGCGCTAAGTATTAAGTATTGAAGTGTATGCTCTATGTGTCCGAGCTTATCAGCTGTTGAGAACGTGTAGACTGTGTAGCTGTCGAGCTCTAGAGTTGTTTTGCTGTTGAGTTCTAAAGTTGTTGAGCTGTCTCTCCTACAGTCCTGTTTTTTAAGAGAGCGCATCCCCTTTTACAGATGAAGGGGGTGGTTTTACAAGTCAAAGACGAAAAGGGAGAGAATGTGTACGTGCGCTACCTAGTTTTGTTGTCCACGCCATCGGATACGGCACGCTATCGCCCACCTTACTGTTCATGACCTGCTGTATCTGACAGGCTGCACAGTGTTCGTCCACCTTACTGTTCATGACCTGGCAGGCTGCACAGTGTTCGTCTGGTACGGCAAACGTCGGCGCCCACAATACTGTTTATGCTCTGACGCGTCTGGAAGGCTGTATAGTGTCCGTCTGACATGGCCTGGCGGCACCGTCATGCAGATACGCAGGGCATGGCATGGTACGATCCTCGGTATTGCGGTTGACTTGAGCGCCTTACCTTATCTACTCCGCCTGCTGCCCGGGCCCACACCGAGCGGGCGTCCCCGATCGGTTGTTCCCAGTCGGCCCCGACCGTGTCGGTCGAAAAAGAGTAGCGAGCAGAGACTCGGCGTATCCTCGGTCGAAGAAAGGGGGTCGGAGTCGGACTGCGGTCCCACCACGACCAGGCCATTCGGTCGGGGCTCCGACCAGATCTCCTGGCCGGAGGTGCCGGTCAGGGACCGGATCGTGGTCTTGGCATGTCATTGTGTATGTGGGCTGGCCCAGGCGCGTGCTGTCGCTGCGCCGCCTGCTGGGCCGAGTTTTGTAGGGAAGCGGGTCCATTGGGGGTCCCGGGTTTATGAACTCGACAACATGTTTCTTCGATGTTGGAGTACATATTTTTCGATATTACAGTACATATTTTTTCGATGCTGCAGTACATAAATTTTCGCTGCAGTACATATTTTTCGATGTTGCAGTACATGTTTTTCAATGTTGCACTACATATTTTTGCGATGTTGTAGTATTTATATCTCGATGTTGCACTACATATATTTTTTTCCACATGTTTCATACTCTTCATTGTTGCATTTGAAGTGTTTTGTGCTCTTTTTTGGGACAGTGGCGCGGTGGAGGGAACGGCAGATAGGGGCACGGTGAGGAGCGGAGGATAGGGGCGGGTTCCGTTTCATACGTGAGGGGTGGGCAATTTCCATTTCATTCCGTGCGGGGACCAAAGGGTTTGGGAAACGGACCGGCGTCCGGATGCACTCGCGCGCCACACGTCCGGGGCGTTAGAATCACCGTTTTTCTTTTCAAAATCCACGGCCATTTTTAAACGAGTTGGAACGGAACTGACGGCCTCAAGCCTGATCCTGATGTGCACATGCGAACAGTGTGCTGCTACTCAGAGTAGGGAGCAGACATGCTATGCCACACCCCACACATAGGCAGGCAGCTGATCTCTAGCCATCTCCCTGTTCGTTTGGGCTGGTTTAGCTGATAAGGCATGGTTGAAAGTACTGTTGGCTGATTTGGTGTGAGAGAAAAATATTATTCGTTGGCTAAAAAGTACGGTTTATAAGCCAAACAAGTCTAAATAAACATGGCGACGTTCGAATCAGTGGCAGATTCATTAGGGTACAGTATTGTATTTTGTTAAATAAAGGGTCATGGATAAGAGTGGTGATGATGGGCCCTTGATCCCCCAAAATGATGCCAACAAAGTGCTGCAGATGGGGGACGCTCAGGCTATCAGACAAGGCTCTGGTCTGTGCATGCATCCCTGAGTCCTGAGTCCTGAGTCCTGAGTCTTGACCTTGTAGCATGCTTTTATTTCATATTTGGCCCCGCACTAGCCAGGAATTTGTGAGCGAGGCAAAGTTCGTTCGAGTAGGCCCGCAAAGCGTGACCTTTTCTGTGTGTCTCTGCCACTAGGTGTAGGAGTTTTTTTTTCTGAAGAAATTTTAGTATAGGGGGAATATTCACCTAGATAGGGAACAGAAGTACTTTTACCCAAGGTTTACAGTAGGAGCTGCTTGCTCCTCTTGATTCCTCAATTTTTTTTACCCAAGGTAGATAATGCTGATGATTGTTACTTTAGGTCTGGAAATCATGGTTTTCAGATGGTGTTTAAATTGAGGGGCTAAAGTTTAGATGCTATATGTAAGTGTTTGGATAGAAATAATAAAACAAATTACATAAGTCTTTAGTAATCTACGAGACGAATTTATTAAGCCTAATTAATCTATCATTAACATATGTTTACTGTAGCACCACATTGTCAAATCATAGACTAATTAGGTTTAAAAAATTTTCTCGTAAAGTAGTTGCAATCTGTACAATTAACTACTTTTTAATCTATATTTAGTACTTCATGCATGTGTATATAAACATATGGTATGATAGTGGCTAAACTTTATAGGGAGCGAGTAAACAATGCCTCAGTCAAACAAGCACGGATGTGAACCAACCAGGGTTCGATTTTGAATTCCACTGTGGCCTGCAAAGCTGCGCTGCCCTCACTTTGAT